GAGTGACCGGTTCTGTTGTATCTAGACCAGCACAACACACATGTCACACAAGGCGCGATCGATTTTGCTATTGAGAACGACATCATTCTGATGGGCCTACCACCCCACACAAGCTATTTCTTACAACCCCTAGATGCCCCAGACGGTCCCTTTAACGGGCTGAAATCCAAGTTTGAAGATGCTGTGCTGGGGATTTCACTGGTCAGGCCAAACTACTTCGTAACCAAGTCTACTTTCTGCAAGGTCTACATGTACAAGACCGCCCGGGAGCACAGTCTTACAATGGTTGAGGTAAAAAGAGGATTCAAAGCAACTGGCGTATCCCATCGACGAAAGCCAGGTCAATGGCTGGTGCACCGGTGGGTCAACCTTAACGACAATTCTTCTTCTTACATGACAAAGAACAGAAAAGAATGTGATCATGGGGAAATCGATGAGGATGCTAATCTTGACCAAGAGGATGGCAGTCCCCTCCTTGACATATAGCTAGAGATGTCGGAGCTAGCCGAACAAGAGGCGATAAAGCACCCGGTTGCTTCCGACAGCCCTTTTTTTATTTTACTCCGTCCGTATATTGCAGGGTCCTTTTGCCAGGATGAACGTGTAATAAAGACGTGCTTGGTACTCCACAACATCATACGTGACAGACATCCCAAACTCCAAAATTTAGAGTTAGATCGTGATGTTGACGGCGTGGTCATGACAGGTTCACGGCGGGACTTTGGGGTGCTACAGGACTGCCAGCAGGAGGGCTCAACCGGGAAACGATCGTCATGAAAGGGCCAGATGCTAATGTAGGGTATGGCATTGTGTAAATCGTTCTTCGCCGAGGACGGTGAAAAGTTACTAAAGGGGGGGTGTGAGGTGTGTAACGTTACTTACATCATATATACCCGGGTCGCGATAACGTTCGATAACGGGTTCCGGACCGGTCCGTACTTAATGGTACGGCCCGGGCTTCCCTGGCTTCCATAGAACGATTCGAACGCGTTTTGGCCAAACCGTGTGGTGTTAGCTGCTTTCGAAAATTTGAATACAGAACTCGGACGTTGGAATTGATGTTGCATTTCTTAGTTTAGGGACACCAAACCTGGGCTCATTTTGCATTGAAAGGCGTGTTTTCTTGGGTGGGTATGACATAAATAAAATACAACACGGTGTATTCCGCATCGCCCTCGGTCCCGGCCCTCCCGCAGTCGGCCCGGTACCTCGGGCGATACGGAATAAGCCATGTTTTATTCTATATTATATATATATTAGGTACGCCGTCGGGCGTTCGAACGGGGAAAAGGCGTGTGCATATCAGGTAAACCGTTCGGGCGTGCGAACGGTGACGTTAGGATAGATCTAATTCTTAAGAATAAACAGGTTTTTGGGTTGAAATACTAGTTCAGACGTGTTTCTGTTGTGATCCGTGTACGTCTTTCTTGTCCCACTTTTCTCCTCTCACGAGGCGGTAAACACACTGGAGGAAGTTGAAATCAACGTTCCTAAACAACAACCCTAACTAAGACAATACCATATTATTATGCAATGCTTACACAATTTTTTTTGAATGTGCCTGTTTCCCCTTTTCTTTAAAATCTGACACGTCACTTTACTACATCATTCTCTATACATCCTATTTGCTCTATTACTATAATATATTATAGAGATGGCTCCAAACCTACAAATATAAATCTGAGGGTGGCCATATACACCAACAACGGGGTAGAAAGACAAAATGAAACCTTGAAGTATCCCAACCTAGACGGCTCTAAGAAGAGAAGCTTGTATGATATGCTAACAGTGGTGGTGACTGACTTCCTACCAACAGCATTTCGAAAGTAAGGTATGTAAATGTTAGAAATGTGAAATTTCTGTCAATGTATTCTGTTTATTTTATACATTTATGTAATTAACTGGTTACAGTGTTACAACAGTATGGATTAATCTTGTTTGTTGTTACTAACATTTTGGTAAAGTACGTCTAATAACCCTCTACAATAATATAGTTCAGAAAAAAAAAACATTTTAATTTTTTGTCAGTGATGGATTACAAATTGTCGCAAAATATGTTTCATAATCAGTGAGTATGCCAAGTAACGCAGTGAAAGCTGCACACCCAACGAACACAACAGTCTTTTCCCAAGAACAACACGCCAGGACACATGCGTGCGAGCAGTACCACGCATTCGGGTGCAGTCTGTTAAACTTCAGAGTTCAATATTGCCGATCAAAGCACCATTAGCAAACAACATGCCACACTGCAGAGATTCAACTCATTGAAGAAAAAAATTCTATAAAATTTTATAGCAAGATACCTTCGTTGTGCGGTATTGTCTTTTATATCTTTATGTAAATACCTCCTTTCAAATAAGAGTTTTTCAAGAATATGATTAATTTAAAACATTTCAGCAGTTAATTAGATCATTTTCTGCAGACCAAGCAGAAGTGCTAACTCAGTTTGTAAAGCACCAGATGACGGAAACGCCCTCAGGGTGAAAACTGGAGGCAATGTAATGACTAAAATCAGTCTAGGCTCCCAAGGTGCATAATGCGTTGGAAGAAAAAAAATTAAAGACTGAAACAGACGATGCAGGCTGTTGAACAAGGCAATGCATTGAGAGCTATTCAAGCTTGTGCTCTGGAAGCTGTCCAGCCAGTTTTGTAGGTGATGAACCTTCTCAAAAACTTTTCTTTCGCACAAGGATGACTTTGTCCATGAGCGGGCGATGCTGTTCAGTTAGATGTGGGAGTGTGTTCCCACATGACCTATTTCTTGCTCCGCCAGGGTCATGGCTTATCTCTAAAAAAAGTGTCATGCAGGCTTGAATTGCATATCGAAAAGAATCAAGGCAGGATGAAATTATTCGATGTTTACAAGATAAAGATGACCTAAGAAAAATTTACATGCTACCCTACATTTGCTCAAAACAAACCAAAATACAGTACTTTCAATGTAAAATTTTATACAGTTTCTTGACTACTAATGTATATTAAAAAAGGTAAAAATAAAAGACTCCGACCAATGCCCATATAGTGAAAAAAAAATAGTACATCTATTTGCTGAACGCCACACCGCCAAATACTTCTGGAAAGAGTTTATGGACTGGTGGAAAAAAGATCATATGCTTCCCGCGGCTCTCTCCAACAATGAAATCATCTATGGTCACTTTCCCCCCTCCAAAACAATAAAACATTGAACAGTTGTATTTTACAAGCAAAATATTACATTTTCTGCATCGCCATTAGCAATATCAACCCCACGTTCCATGCCGTAAAACACAGACTAGAGAGAAGCTTAGCTATCGGCATTTCATTTTGATCCGTAATTGCATGAATTATATCTGTTGATCATAATCTCCACCAACAGTCTTATTTTAACAAAGAATGCCATTATAGCATTTCCTCATATATTATGCAAAAGTTATATTAAATTATGTTTACCTTCACTAAACTTCAAACACCCCAAGTATAAAATTCCAGGCAGTTACCACTATGCAATTATAACATTTTCTCATTAATTATGCAAACTAAGTCTTCATTTGCATAATCGATATCTGCCTGTGTTTCTCTCGTTGTTAATAACATATGTCGCAAGCTTGAACTTCCTATCATGGAATGCAGCTGATTAATAGAATTTTCTTATTAATTATGCAAATTACATCCATATTTGCATAATTATAATATCATTATGTCAAGCATTACTCAAGCTACCTACATACCAAAAATCATGATGATCCATCAATCGGTTCTTGAGTTATCCTCCTTTAAACATTTGTCCTTTAACCCCCCCTGCAGTTCCAGAGCAAGCCACTAGGGGGCCCAAACTCACGTCACTTCTTTCCCAGCACAAGAGCTACTTGCCATCCAAATTTCGTCACCCTAGCATGTCTGGATCATGAGATATCAAAACCGGAAGTTCAGCTGCAGTACCATGACAAGCCGCCAGGGGCCCCAAAATCTAATCAGTTCGAGCTCTCATTAAGACCTACACACCTACCAAATATCAAGATAATCCATCTTAGCTTTCTCGAGTTATGCTGTTGACAGACACACAGACACACAGACACACGGCCAGGAAAACATAACCTTCTCCAATTCTTGGCGAAGGTAAATATGGGTAAAGGGGGGTAAATATGGCAAGTCGTTCTGGTAAGGGCATGTACGCGTAAATACGGGTAAATTTAACTAAATGTCAGAAACACCACGCTGGGTAAATGCCTGAAACGAGAAGTACCCCATATGGTAAATCTCGGTAAATACCTGAATACCGCATACGGTAAATCTTGCTAGATACGTATTTACACGAAACCGGTAAATGTGGGTAAATAAGGCAAACATTACCAGCTAAACCATGCGGGTAAATACCGGATAAATTTGCACATTTACCGACGGGTAAATGTTGGTAAATCATTGGTAAATGTAACCTTTACCCGGCATTACATCACATTTACCATTGTGGTAAATTCCACTTTTCGTGCAGTGGATCACGTATAAGGAATGGCGTCATTACGTTTCTGAGGGATCATGGGAAATGCAGACGACAGCCGGGTGTTGACATTGGTTTTCTCAGGTCGGTTGTTACCAAAACAAACACTCAGAGACCAACATATTTACTGTTTTGTAAAGCTTTATACATATAACATCCTTTTTTTTAATATTATTGACCAAATTGCGTCATGGAATTCCTCCTTAGAACAGTTCATCGTAGTGTCACGTGGAAAGAAGGGTAAAAGGTCCCGTTCCAGTCTATTGCAGAGCATAGGGGTGGTGCCTATATCCATTTCTGTAGCCCTTGGGCTACACACAGTTGTGCAAGGCACTACGGCAGGGGAATGGTCCGCTGGTAGGGCCGTGTGTTTGCCCTTCCCACGCTCTTTCTCGTAGAAGAAAGAAGGATAGGAAATATTATTGTCTTTCTCGTTTCATTATGTTTCTCGGAAGAGTGGCTCACTTCCTGTTTGTGTATGTAAGATAAGGTCAGACGGACTTTTGTTCAGTGTCATTTGCGTGTTCCCTGTGTTGCTATAAACATAGTTCTTCTGTTCTTTAGAACCAGTCACCGAAGAGCCGTCCTGCCAGCAAGTCGGACGTCGGTGAGTTTTGTCCTTTTTTTATTTCGTCTGAAAGATAGATACGGGTTTAGTTCGGGTCTGGCCTTACATAACGGTATGAGGAACTGTTTATTCTCGGGAGCGATCACGGGAGAGTCGCAAGTATTTTACAAGCCAACTGCCATGTTGGTGGAAAGGCTGTTTTGGATTCTTGCCAGTGGATTGTTCTGTCACAACCTGGTTAAAAATTCTACCTCGAGCGTCGAAATCACACGGTAGCCTTACATGTCTTATTACTGTAAGCTCATTTATGTTCCGTGGGGATAAATTTCGCGTTAGGATAGGAAATGGTATTTTTGCGGTGTTTAAAGTTCACGGTTGAAACAATATTTCAGTACGGCAGTACATTTGTAGTGCCATCAGTTGCTTTTACTCTTGGTTTTACTCTTATTGTGGCATTGTACAGTATAGTGTATTGTACACATTTTTGGCCAGTATGGGGCTATTGATGCATGTCTTACACAACAGAAGGATCAAATAGCGTGTTTATTAGGACTCCCCTAATATGTATTTAAATGAGTGAAGCAAGTGCATGCGTGACTTCATCTGGGTTTACCAGTAAACAAACGTCTGTGCCAGGTGTGCATTCCACTGCACCCATTGTAGTCGGTATAAACAATGTCAACTAGAGTTCGGAGGACTCATGCCTTCGACAGATATTGTTTTGGAGGGTGTTGTGTGTGTGTATAGTGTAGGTTTTTGAAGATGATTATCGTAGTTATAGTGGTCAGAGAGTCCTTTTGTGAACGAAGCAACATACCTAGCCTGTACCATGTCTACGGAAATACGGATTGTAGAATTCAGCAAAAGGGAGAGGAGAAATGTCCTGGGGAGTCTGGTCAAGAAAGGTAAAGAAATGCGTTCTTCCCTCCGATGCGCGGCGATCTAAACTTCAAAATTCCTTCAATTAGTTTTCTTCTATACAGCCAGCGTAGTTGAAGCGTGCGGTGTCGACACTACAAAATGTTCACACAAAATGGGCAATTGTCGTAGAGGGGGGCATGGTCCCACCTCCATAGGGGGGAAGCTCTAGTGTTTTTCTTTCTCCAGATACAAATGGAAGCCATTTCCTGCAACTTCTGATTCAAGTTGTTCCTCTGCAAAATATGGGTGGGAAAAAAATCTCAAAGCAAAAACTATTCTTGCATGCAAACACACTTTATTATGCTTCTGATGCCATCTTGCCAGCTTTGGTTATTTTCACCTACAGCCCTGGAGATAAAATACAAGCAGGTAGGTACTAAGGTAAGGGACTACACTACACTTCAACCATGTACAAAAAATAAACCAGCCAACCATGCAGGACACGAACTGCCAGAAAAATGTTAACATTTGGACCACATATTCAGCATATACTGCTGCATTCTGAATTAACACTCACTGAATTAAAAAAGAAAAAAAACTTCTGAAGAAAAAAAGTATTAATCTGCACAACATTTTGATTGGTTTCCTATCCCTTCGTTTGCCTAAAAATCGATAGTGTGATTGAATCAATTTTAAACCCCCTAAAATTAGCAAAATCATCGATTTAAGCTTATTGCGCAATGGACTTGCCCTATGACCTTCATAGGGAAATACCGCTATCATGGACCAGACATTTTTTGTCACGTTGCCGAATTTTGCGGCCGCCACATGCTGATGTTGCGGTACGGTAGGGAATTTACTGCGGTTAGTTGGTAAACGTATCGGCTTTTAAACTTATTTTCGGGGTCGAGGGCTTTGGTTTACAAACAAATCAGACAATTAGCGGTGTTTACACGACTTCAAAACGCTAGCGGGGAGCCCGATGTTCCACCAATGACATCGTCGACAGTGATTCTCTCGGTAACGTCGTGTGAAATGTTCATTGTTTACTCGATTATCGCCGATTAACAAGTTTTCCTAGACAACGCCGACGGCAAAATGGACGCCACTCAGCCCCGAAATCAGGAATTTTTTTGGCGACGCCCTTTGGGGGCGGAGGCATTTGTGTAAGTACTACGATCGCTTTGAAAGAATTTCAAAAATTGCACAAATGCATTCCCTGGGGAATTGGTTTTGAGGAAACCTTCCGCCATGTGGTTTTTGGATCAAGCAGGTAACTTACACCGGTGCCCACGTGCCACCCATCCAGCTGCCTGGCATGATTAATTACTGGTCATTTGTCTTCTCCCCACACCATGGACAGAGAGCACAGCTGTCTTTGGTTAAAGACCATATCAGATCACAGAGAGAAAAGAAATTGTCCGTCCTTTTGGATCCCACAAAAGGTAAAAAAGTCAAAGGAGTAACAACTTCAGACCAGACATAAAATCCAGTCTCTGGTGGAGGATAGAGTGAAGTGAAATGGGGGATGGTTTGGTTCTAGCAGGAACTCGACCAAAGTAAAGTAAGTAAGTATGTCATCATAAAATCTATATTGCTGGGGAAGAACGGCTGATTCCTCCTATACGTGTATTTGGTATATTGCCCCACACCACCTCCACCCATCCTGTAAATTTCACTACGTGCATGTCTTTATAAGATAGGGAAATATGTTTTTTCTGATAATTGTAATGCAGATTGCTAGCTCCACCACATGAAATAATATATATCATTCAGTCGTCGCCTTGGCAATGATTTTTATTGCCTCAGCCTTGTTACAATTTTTTGCGAAATTATCTGGAAAAATCGGGATGTAACACCATAAATTTGGAAAGCAGTATACTGGCGCTGAGCTGGGAGTAGCCTGGCGCCGCCGTTCATACATCTCAGAGTTTTAGCCCACAACAGCGCTGGACTTTGTATTACTGCGGACAACCACCGGCCTGTCCTCCAGGGACGCCCCAGGGGTATACCTGGCAGTGCTAGGTCAGCCTCGGCTGACCTACCCAACACGCCTTTCCTGTCACTGCAATTTAACCTGAATATTGGAATAAATGTCTTCTTGTTGAAACGTAACATTTTCCACGATCGAGTAGATCCTTTAGTTGCCGGTTATACCTCAAGTCGGGGATACTGTTTGACTATGTCCGTTTGGTTCGGGGATACTGTTTGGCTATATCCGTACTGTTTGGTAGCCCATATGGTGTACATTTTACCCTAGCCTTCCAATGTTGGCTTCTCAATTTCACCTCCACATGACCCATAGGAATACTCCTAGTACAATCCTACCCAAAGTGTTTTTCCTTACGTAAGCCCGATTATGCATGAGTTCTCAGCTAACACGACTTTCTTCTGATGGCCCAAAAAAGTTTCAAACCTGCCCTTTCACCCAGGTCATGCCAAGTTATTTTTTCATACATGTACTAGATCGTTCAGTATACAGTCTTTTTGCCCGATAGAAACAAAATATGTGATGTGGTTCAAATCATGTTTGCATCATAGTAACATACCGTATGCACAAATATCACAAATGCATGAATGTTTCGAGGCCAACTTTGCAGGAAATACCCCAAGGCCAGATGTGCCGCACTCTGAGGACACAGAGGTGTCAATTAGCAGCGGTTAAGCATGCAAGTTGTTGACAGGTGATGTTATTTCAACAAACAACTGTTAGAAAATTTTTCCACGGTTGACAGCTCCCTGCCTGTAAATTGTTATTTTAACCTACATTTGTAGTAACGTTACATAAAACGATCGAGAAGGAGCAAAACCTGGCCTGCACTTATGAAAATGTTCTCACAAAATGTCCCATTGCACTTACCCACTACCTACTAGAGACTCCAAACTTGAAACCCTCAATCTAAACCCCTTGACCTATCCACAATAAAAAAACAAGACATTGCTTTTCCACAAATTGAACTACTGACAAACTAACCAACAATCACCAAAAGCCCACTACAGCAACGTACGGACCTCCCACTTCGCCAATTTTGCAAGGGATCTGTTGTTTCAACAAACAGGAAATTTTTTCCAGCTATCCTTGTTTGCATAAGTCAATGTAATCCGCAGAGGGTAGAAAATAAAAAGGTCTAGTGCAGTATAAAAGACATTTAGATTTCTTTTATCGATTAATCAAATTGGGTCACAATTTACATAATTAATATCTATTAATCCTCTTCCTCTTGATTAAATATGCCACCATTTTAATTGTTCTATTATGGAACGAATCAGGTCTATAGACTTTTGTCATTAATTATGTAAATTAGATCTTGATTTACATAATTGTCATCTTATAAGGTGAAACATCACTTAAGCTACCGAGATACCAAAAATAACAACAATCCGTCAACCGGTTCCTGAGCTATCCTACTTCAAACATTTTCAAACAAATGCCTCTGCATTTCCCAAACAAGCTGCTACGGGACCCAAACTTATGGCATTTTTTTTGTGAGCACAAGAGCTACGTACCACCTAAAAATCATGACCCTAGCACGTCCAGATCACGAGATTTAAAAAACAGAAGTTTCGCTGCAGTAATTTCTAATTCAATGACGTGGGGACCCCCCACGAAGCCCATATCAGAACTTGACCTTGGTATTTTCAATGGTAACTTGCCAACTAAAAAACATGAACATCCATTTAAAGATTCTCGAGTTATCTTGGTCACAAGAAAAAACACAAAAAACAAAGGTCAACTGCAGTGACATAGAAACCCCCATGGGGCCCATATTTGAACTTGACCTCGGCGTTCTCAACGGTAACTTGCCCACTAAGAATCATGAACATCCATTTAAGGATACTCGAGATATATTGATGACAAAGAAAAAACACCAAAAACCAAGGTCAACTACAGTGACTTAGGAACCCCCCACGAAGCCCATTTAGCCTTGACAATGGCCACCCCCAAATCAACCTGCCCGCCAAAAATCGTGAACCTCGGACCTTGCCTTCACGAGTTATCGTGTCTAATCTGCCAAACAGTGCAAAAGCGATTTCATAGCCTTCTCCGAAGGCATAGCCTTCAGTCGAAGGCAATGATGTTCACTAGTATTTGCACATTCATGCCCATGAGGGCTAAAGCCGTGTTTAAGTGAAATCACCCAAACCGCGATTTGGGTAACTCACATTCCTCACATCTG